ACACCATCTGATCATTAGACAATCAGATCAAGCATCCAAGAATAAATGTACATGATACACCTCCAAAAAGTCAGCCACATGGAATCTCAAAACAGGCCCTGGACTCCTTAACTTGGGCCTCATTCTTTTTTTTGTTTTTGCTTTCTCACCCCCTTTTTCACTAAAACAACACAGACCCATTTTTCTTTTTTTTTTCATTTCTAATTTCAAACAAATTAATATTTGGGTCTTTTTGCTAATTTTTAACACCATTTTTACTTTTTAACACACAGGCCCAATATTTTTTACATTCTTCATATTTTCTTATTTTTATTTCCTTATTTATTTTCATTTAACCAAAAAATACAAAAATATATTTTCTTAAAAAAATTAAATTAAATTATTTTTAATTTAAGCATTTTATTTCATTTTTTTAATTATATTAGATTTTATTACTCTTTTTACATTATAAAAACATTTTCTTTCCAAATTAACATTAACATTCAAATTATTTTCTAAACAAATTATTTAGACTTAGGTCTTATTTTCTTCTTAAATTCAATTAACTTAGATTTCAGGTTCTGTTAAATAATTAATTAATTTCTCTTGTAATTAAAACTAATTAATTTGATTAGGTTAATTATAAAACATTAGACAATCCTAATTTCAAGATAAATATTTGAATCAAACACACTTTGCACACATATACCTCTAGGGTAACCCACACTTGTTGCCTCAGATGTAAACAATCATGTTCCTCGAATGTGGGATATTTTAGCAAAGACCCTCGATTACAAGATCATAATCTCTCGATGACCCTTCGAAGTTGCCTTCGGTAAACGATCTTAGTCCCTTACGACAATTGCTAAAACATCTTACAAGTTGCCTTCTATGACTATACGATGACCCACGCTTGTCTCTCACATCTAATGATAAGGCTTCCTACTAACTAATGGTAGGTAAGTATTATCTAAAGGAGGAGGAAAAGAACAAAGACTTTTTGAGTAGGTAGATTGCTCATAATTTATTGCTCACAAACTAAAACAATCTTTACACCTCACACTTTCAAAACATTTTCAAAAAAACAAATATCTTTTCAAACACTCTCTTTTCAACAAATATTTTCAAAACAAATATTCTGTATACATTCTCAACGATACGAGAATCATTATAAAGTTTGTCATACTAAGGCGTTTTCAAAATATTTCCAAAAACAAAAATTTTGTATACATTCTCAACGATACGAGAATCATTACAAAATTACCATTTTTAAAACATCTTCAAACATTTTTCAACATACACAAACATAAAGCATTTCAAAGTGAGCTAGCAATTAAGAACTCATAAATAACTACAGATGAAAATAGTGCTAACACCTTCCCTTTTCATAACCTACTCCCGAAATCAAGAAAAATTCTCAAAAGGTCTTTCTTGTTCTTTTCACTCTTTCCTTTATTGGATAAAAGAAAAGTCAGTGGCGACTCTTGCTATCTGCAATATTTGCGATAAAACACAAAACACCAAGACAGATCTTCCACCGTATTACACTATAACACAATCTTATAGAACTTATCACAAACCTATAATAGGGGGAGACATAGTCATCTGGCTTTTTTCTTATGTTCCAAATGCAGGAGATAACATGACAGTGTCATACTAAACCTTAAGTAAAAATTACAACCAACCATACACCTAACTACAATCCTCTTAGTATCATTCTTCTTAATGAAGACATTCTTTTGATTTTCCATTCCATACTCTTTGACTGCGTCTCTTATTGTTCCTTGTTTGAAAACATCATTCCTAACTTGAAAGCACATCCCTCACCACTTTTATATGTTGGAAACCTTTCTGCATCTCCTTCATCATCACTACCAGGGGGTGTGTATAAATGGTCCTCATCCTCTTCATCTGCATCTTCTTATTGCAATTTGAGTTCACTTGAAGCCTCACCTAATGTCTTAAGGAGCAGAACTGAAGTCAAATCCATCTCATCACACTCCTTACAATCCTCACAAAAGTTACTATCTTCATTGAACTCATCATTCACATTAGGTTCAGTCACATTAGGTTGAGTTTCAACAGGTTCAATCACATTAGGTTAAATTTCAACAGGTTCAACATTTTTAGGTTGAGTCTCAACAGGTTCGGTCACATTAGGTTGGGTTTCAACATGTCCAACATCATTAGCTTAACTCACAACAGGTTCAACATCATTAGGTTCACTCTCAACAGGTTCAACATTACAAATATTCACACCAATAATTTCTACATCATCATCCATGAACTTATCTAATTCACTTGAGTCCATAATTTTAGGTGGAGCAGACACTTTATGCTCCACATAAACATCAATCAGCTAATGACCTACAACATCTTGGGCAAACTGCAGAACATCGTTATCATTGTTTAATGGCCTTATACCACGAGTAAATCTTCAATTGGGGTTCTTGTACCATAAATTACATATGTCTACATAACCATGGTATTTAATCAGTCCATCCATATCCATGTATGACATAAAGTCAATATCAAACTTCCAATCCATTTCAATTACCTCACCACCAACATACAAATGAATAGGTTCATGTACAAATTTATCCCCATGGTGGAGTCTTAATATAACTAAAGTGTCCTGAGTTGGCCTGGAATTATCAATATTCAAATACAATGTTAATAACCTAATCCACAAACAACCAAACAACAAGCAAACATGGTGGATCACAAAAGAATAACTACTTTAATAACAAGGACCACAATAGACATAAGAGAATGTGGTAGACCACACAGAAACCCTGTATAATCGTTACCTAAACATCGATTACCATGTTCAAATGAGACAAAAAAAACATATATCATTGAAAACCTCACTTGTGTGTTCGTCATTTGTCTCGTTCTTGGCTTCTCACACTATCTGGTTGTTCTTCGTGACCTAGCTATGGAGTAGAAGAAGACGATGTAAAAGTGTGCAATTGGTTGAAGCTGAGTGAAAGAGTTTAGGGTTATAAACGTTAAATTTTCCAATTTGATTAAAGTAATGTTTTTAAATAATCCTAAATTATTTTTTAATGTTATAAAAATTACATGAGATTGAAAATATAAATAAATAAAAACTGACGTGGTTGTACCACACCCATGCCATGTCAAAAAATGATCAGACAGATGGAGGGGAACTACAAAAATCTCAACTTTGGTAAACTTTAGGAACTTGAAACTTGACTTTTAAACTGGGGGCTGAAACTTAAAAAAACTGAAATTGAGGGGACCAAAAATGCATTTAAGCCATTAAAATTTTAAACTCGCACCCTCAACAATATTTATTCTGTCCCCATCTCGTATTTATGTGGCTTTTGCATGCGAGCATTTTCTACCATCTTGTTTTTCGATGGCTTTTGCATGCAAACATTTTTCAGCTAAGAGCCAGTCATTCTATTTTTGTGCCTAAAATTGAGAATCATTATGTTTTGATTGTTGATTTTTGTCTTATATCACTTTATTTTCCACTCTTATAAGTTGTTGAGCTATGATGCATAGGTACGAGTACGGTACCCAATACAGATACTGGTACCAGTACCAGATACTGATAAAAACTAAGTTTTTTTATAAAATATATGCGTAGAAAACTAAATTGTTAAGTTTATACCAAAACATCACACTATAAAAGGTTAAAAAATAAAGTTAAGATACATTAATAAAGAAATGAAAATATATAAATATACTATGACAACAAATTTCACTCAAAATTGAATTATGAGAAAAAAATGAAATACCACGAGTACTGTACTTGTACCTGATATGAATGCGTACCCGATACCGATACTAAACCATATTAGAAGTATTCATATTTCAGAATTGCTGGGAGTCTTAAAGCGTCTTAAAACAAAATAATTCTTAGAGCACGATAAAGATGTGATTGATGGTTCGCTGTTTAAGAGAGTGATTTGAAAAATTCCAATATTTGAATACAATGTCTCAATAATGTGAAATTAACATGTAGAACTGTTGGTAATAAGAGCAATGAAAGTTTAATTTATAGGAGCAAAACAACCACTTTATCTCAAATTCGAACCTATTCAATATTTGTTAAGTTGAACAAAATATCTTGAACAAGATATCACAAATTCGAATCTAATCAATAATATGAAGTTAAACCCCTTATCACAAATTCGAACCCAGACAATATTATTAGCTTTAAGATCTTATCTCAAATTCAAAGCTATTGTTCAATTGACCACCTTATCTCAAATTCAAACCCAACCAAGATAGTTAAGTTTAACACCTTATTTCATATTCAAACCCAAAACCTTTTCCAATTATCTAAACAATACTAACTACTTTATCATTTCAATGCTCTTTGCAATGGCCAAATACAACCACAACTTAACTCATTTTTCTAAATCTTATCCAAACAAAGGGTAAGACGGTGGTTATAGTTGTTATGGTAGAAGTCAAGATAAGATTATATATATATATATATATATATATATATATATATATATATATATATATATATATATGGAAAATAGTTCATAAAAAATGTTCAAAAAAGAACCTTAGAAGAAGAAAATTGAACTTATCTTTAATATTTTTAGCCTTATCTATTCATTTTTCAAATTTAATAATACTATCCACAAATTAACATAAGCATTTTATTCTAAGTTCAAAATTTAGAACCTCTTAGCAAAAACTAGTCTGAACTCAAACACTATGTTGCAGAGGAATGGGACATTGACCAAACATTGTTCCAATAGCTCGTTTAGAACTCAAAGTGATTGGTTTAATATCCAAACAATTATAATCTAAAAGGATAATGCACAAAAAAAAATAAAAAGTTAAATTAAAAATTGAAATGCAAGATATCTTAATAACATTAATACACCATACAAATAATTCGTTGTTTAATAATAGATTTATAATAATAAAACCAGAACTAACTCAATTTTCTTCACTAGAACACCATAATAACAACAACTTGAAATTACAACAAAAATTCAAAATTAAAATTGGGGAAAAACGAAACCCTAAACAATGTTAACTTTAGCACCTGCACCTTCAAGTTGTTTCTTAGCATCTTCCGCTTCATCTTTCGAAACACCTTCTTTGAATTTCTTCGGCAAACCTTCAATCAGCTCCTTGGCTTCTTTCAATCCCAAATTCGTCAAAGCCCTAACCGCTTTAATCGCCGAAATCCTCGAGTTACTCGGAACCTCCTCAATCACCACATCGAATTCTGTTTGCTCTTCCACGACAGCGACCTCCGCGGCGGCGGGAGCGGCAACGGCGGCGGCGGGAGCGAATGAGGCTGCGGTTACTCCGAGTTTGTCTTGGAGGTAGTCAACTAGGTTCTTGGCTTGTTCGAGTGTGAGGCCGGAGATCTCGTTGCCGAGCTTTTCGACTTCTGCGGAGACGGCGGTGATGCGGTGGAGGCGGGTGGAGCGGTGGGAGAGGGTTGTTGGTGTTTGGGATGGGAAATGGAGGGATGTGATTGGTTTGGGGAAGGGTGAAGGATAAGAGGAGGGTGTAGGATAAGAACGTGTGACGGTTGAGATGGTTGTGAATGCGGTTGTTGAAGCCATTGTTGTTTTGGAAAATTGAAGTGAAAAGAGTGAGAGAAAAAGAGAGAAGATGAACAAAATTTAGGATAAGGAAATAGATGAAATGAAACGCGATGAAATGAAAGGCTTATGAAGATGGATAAAAATACCCAAAGAAATTAAATTTAATATATTTTTTTATAATAAATAATAAAATAAAAATTAAGGGGCATTCGGAGAATCGAACTCCGGACCTCTCGCACCCAAAGCGAGAATCATACCACTAGACCAAATGCCCATTTGTTGTCTCTATTGAATGTTAATTTTATATAACTAAGCACTTACATTAAACAACTCAGTGTCTTGTTTGTTACAGTATTTTATAAGATAACCTTATATTTTTGTGATCACTACCAATGTGAATATAATATAAGAAAGAGGATATTTGACATCCGCATAGAATGGGGGGAAAATTGCAAATGATTGATATAAAACTTTCAAAAGTCATTCCCTAATATATTTTCATGAGTTTATCATATTATAAAACATTTATATTATAAAGAAAATTAGATGTTCCATTTCAATTTGAGAACTGTATTTTTTTTTTTTACTAAAGTTCTCTCTTTTAAGATTCTAAAATAATATTAACTGTGTAGTTAGTGTTATGGTGTGAAAGATTGGTGGTGTATTAACGAAAGTTAATGTAGAAATTTTTTAGGATAACGGTTTAAGTCTCTAATACGGTGGAACGGAGGTGGAGCGGAGTCAAGTCAATAAGGTTAGAGAGATGTCACTTGTAAAAGTGAATAAAAATGAATGCGTTAGGATGCATAATCAAGTTTATATAAGGTGGACGGTTGAAATCACTCTTGTCTTCTATAATCAGTTGCGAATTGAATTGCGGAAGATCGTTGGATTGAATCTGACGACTTAAGAGGAGTAAGTGGCTAGACTATGGTGTGATTTTTCTGGAGAGAGTCTAATTATTACGGTCTTGAATCAGGATGTATTGCATTGGACATCTCGTATTGGGTTGATCTTGTTAGGCGATTTGGTCGACCGAGAATAGTTACCCCAAGTCCTTGTTTCCAGGAACAAGTTAGGATTGTGACAAAAATATTGAGACCAACCTCCAAACCACTATCCTCTATATTTGGGAAGAGGTCGAAGGTGTGTTGAGTGAGAGCTAGTAATCTCGAGAACATGCATGTTTAATGATTGTCTTGTAACTGAAACTTTTCGTAGTATATCTTCTCTATGTGGTCCGGAGCTCCTAGAATATGAGGATGGTGACACATTATAGCACTCGAATGAACTCAAGTGCCGTTATGGGAACTAGGTTAATCATGAGTTGTTGATCCCGCCTTCCTGTATTTTATTGATTTATAGTCGTATATTTATACTTATATGTTATCTATAAAATTGGTAGAGTTTCATCAATTTCTTTTTTTGCTCCTTTTATACCAAAGTTCAGTATCTCAAGTATTTCCTATAATTTCCAAATTGTATGTGATTTTCTAGTGTTTCTTCAAACCTTCATCCTCTCTTGTACAACATTTTTGGATCTTTTGTGATCTTATATTTTTTCTTTGACTCAAACTCTGTAACTTTCTTAAGGTAAAATTTTATCTTTTTCTATTCTTTAATTTGTTTCCATATATTTCTAGTCATGGCTAACATAGGAAACTCAAACACGACCTTTATAGAATTATTCAGTAGAGATGATATAAGTGACACTTATTCTAAACTGGAGATAAATAATGGAGGTATCTCCTTTTAATGTAAGGTATCCTTATGTAGATTTTATATAGACTAGTGATAGTTTTGATGTTGTGGAGAACTTTGTCGGAGATACTCAAGAGTAGAGGGTCTCTAGGAAGTGGAAGACCTTGAAATAACGTGGATGAAAAGGAGGAAGTTAACCCTTTTAAGATTGATATCAGGGAATTTAGTTGTGGCTTTTCATTCCTTGAGATCCTTGTGCCAAACCTGGAGACAGTAGGGAAGTACTGAGATGAGTTAAAGGCCTATGTTTATATTAATTCCCTTAAGCATCTTTTGGATTGATATCTAGAAAGTTGGTTGTAGGTTTGCCTTCCTTGAGATCCTCATGCCAAACCTAGAGACAATAGAAGTGTAGTGAGATGAGTTGAAGGCCTATGTTTATATTAAACTTGTTAAGTATCTTTATGGTTGATGAAGTTCTTTTAGGGATTGGTTGTATTATGCAAAATAACATGGATTGTTCAAGCTTGTTCTGGTGCAGAAGAGACATATGGGAACCCGATGTTCTAACATGTGTGCTGCAACATTTGGTCTTTTACAACAGACAAATGTTATTGCAATTATGGTTCTGAGTTATCTTATCCAACATGCACTCTACAGATACTTATAGACTCGTGATGAAGAGTTGATTTGGATGTACTGGTGCAACATGTTAAAAATGATGCTTCAACATCTGTGCAGTGCAACATCTGAGCTTGACAACAGGTCATATGGATGTTGCTTGGTGCAAAATTTGGATTATGATTTGATCATATTTGTTATAGTTATTTTAGAAATGATTTTTTGATTAGTTTGGCAACTAGGGATGTTTAAATCAGATATAATTGAGATTTATATTTAAATTGTAATTAGAAACAAATCATACCTTATTGTTGAAGATATTTATAGAGAAGAACATATCCAACAAATTTATGTTATTTTTCTAGAGGCAATCAAATCAGATATCCAAAGGAGAAAAGCCCAAAAGACATTGTTATATAAGGAGGCTCAGTCTCACTCTTGAGACGTGGATTTAATGCGCAAGGTTTAGAATCATTATGCTAGGGTTTGAGTCTTTATAACTTGTATTCCATTCTAAGGCCATAATAATGGTTAGAGTTGAATCTTTTTGTACACCACTCTATGTTTCAGTAACTTGGCTTAGTTGTTGGTTTGTCTTAGTCGAGTTGTAAATTCAATGATCAGTAGAGTTGTTATTGAAGTTGATCACTAGGGGTTAGTGATTGAGAGAAAATGAGACAGGTTCTCATATTTAGGGGGAGTTATAAATTGAAGTTCATTGGGTAGTGTTAGGAAGAGGAATTAAACAATATGAGCTTGTTGTTCCTATAAGAATAAGTGTACTAAGCTACTATTATTGAGTTTCTTTTCTTGGGTAGAGTTCCATCCAAATGTAGGCGTGGTTTCACTGAACTAGGTTACTAATATCTCGTGTTATTTACTGCTTTTACATTTACTTTGCATTGTTATCCATATGTGTGTTAAACCTAGTTTAACTTGTTAGACCACTTGTTCCAACATCGTGTTTGATATATGTTCCCTTCAGAATAAAATTTCAGCTGAGAACCGAGTGATGGTGTGGCTATTTGGTGGATTGATTCATAACATATTTCCATAAATCATAGCTGTAATTTTTTGCTTGTTGATAATGAAGAGGAAATGATACGAGGGGACATCAGGCTCTCGAGCTTCCTACTAATGTAGACCAATACCTAATGGGTGAAACATGATATTTTGGGCAAGACACGTGTTTCCAAATGGGCACATCATATAGAGAATTCATGTTGGGACGTAGGCCCGTCTTATGACTAGGAAATATCTCCCATAGATTCTGGAAAAGATGTGCAACCACTTCGACGGGTACGCATTTCCCCTCCATGAATGTGTGTTCTCCATAATGGGGATCAAGCTTCCCTTCAATGAGTTTGAAAAGTTTCCCTTTCATAACTATATTCAATCAACTATGTTGATGTAAAGGTATTATAGTATTTGTGAGAAATATGAGTGTCTCCCCGCCTTTAAACTTTAATTTGACCTCTTTAATGTAAAACATACTTTAGACAAGTAAGAATTTTTTTTGAAGTCTACATGGTCAGTTTCAAAAACTTTTAGGATATATACCACATGGTTACTACCCCTAGTCGCGAGTCCCATGAGAGCTTGTATGTATTACTAGAGGGTTCTTGGAGTGATAGATGTGATCCTCTAGGGTGCACATATTCTTTGACTTCATTTTCTTCAGGGCTCTTAAATATGTGGATAAGTTTCCTAAGTACGAGAAGAACAATAACTTTTTTGAGGTTCATAGTACACACTCGTCTTAATATCTTGTGATTTGTCTTTAAAAAGGGAGGATTTGAAGATTGAGCTTGTTGACTTTTAGGAAGGTATAAGTGTTATAGATGGAGTCGATCCCTCTGATGGCCTGACTCCCAGGAAAAAAATAGGTAGTACATAAAGACTCATTTGTTGGTATATGAAACCACCAAGGAAGAGCAGTAGAGAATATTTGGCGAGGAAGGGAATTTTACCTTATGTATGACTTTTGGTACCGACTTGTTTTCCCTATGTGTACTTATTTGTTTCTTTGTTTAGTGGATAACATGGGTATCCTTAATGATTTGATCATGATAAGGAATGATCTTAATAATAACATTTCCCCTTCTTTACCCCACCTCCAAAACAAATGGTAAAGATGATTGTACATGTAACAGCCCGGACTGCCTTCGGGATTACCGACTAACCCCACAAACCAACACGAGTTTTTTCAGCATGCTTTGACCTCACTCGCACACTTTCTGAGAAACTTCCCAGAAGGTCACCCATCTGAATACTTCTCCAAGTCAAGCACGCTTAACTGTGGAGTTCTTATAGAACGGGCTACCGAAAAGAAGATGCATCTTGTTCTTGGTAGCTCATTCATAAGAACTCCATAGTTAAGCGTGCTAACTTGGAGCAATTCTGGGATGTGTGACCTTTTGGGAAGTTTCTCGGAAAGCGTGCGAGTGAGATCAAAGCATGCTGGAAAGACTCATGTTGGTTTGTGGGGTCAGTCGATAATCCTAAAAGCAGCCATGTGGCATTACAAATGGTATCAGAGCCATACCTCTCCCAGTACGATGTGGTTCGAGGATGAACCATGCGGAAGCTGGTGGGCATGTAACGCTCGAGGCCGAAAACTGCGAGGAGTGGTTGCATCGCATGTAACACCCGAGGCCTAAGAGGGCAAAGGTGGTCGCCACATCAGAATGAGATGG